CCTGCTGCCTCCTGACTCTCTTCAGGTTCTTCCTTTGCTCCTTTTCCCGTATTTTCTGTTCTTTCTTCCGCAGCCTCTCCTCCTTTTTCCTTTCCTTCTCCTCCTCTTCCTGCTCCTTCTGTTTTCTGGGGCAAAAAAAGTTTACAGTGTGAAAATTCCTCAACAGACAGAAGAAACATTTAGTTCATCGATCTTTTCCTCTCCAGTCGTACCTCTCCGCCTCCTTACGTCGCTCCTCCTCTTCCTTTTCCTTCCGTTTTTGCTCCTCCCTCTGCCTCTCCAGCTCCTGTAATTTCATCCTTTCCAGGTTTCTTTTTTTCAGTGCTGACTCACTCAGATGTTTACTGGTATCAAAGGTCACCTGGAGAGAAAACAAACAAAGGGAATTTATAATCTAAATATACACAGAAGAACACATTTTTTCTCTTTTATGGAAAAATACACACACTCACATTTCCTACTGAACAAATCACACAGGACACTGTTTGCTTCTATACCTTGATTGCCTCAGTCTTTAAAGTAAATATATATGTACTAATAGTACAGTACTAACTGGGCTAAAAATCACATTAAATCTTTCTTTTTATTTAGCATAAAAAATGCCCACAAACAGCCTAGGATGAGAAACTATTCTAATGTTGTTGTAAGTGAGCTAGTGGCTCTTTAAATTTGCGTTAAATACTATACTTTACCAATGTTAAGCAGGCACAACACATCGAGGTCGCTCTCTGTAATTAGAACAGATAGCAACACACGCAGCTTAGCCTCCTGTGGTACATATGTTTTATTGGACCATCCACCTGGATGTGGACTTTACTGTGGAGCTTAGGTCGGTGGATTAACAGATCACACTGTCCTCTACGTTCACTCCCCAGAAAATAATGACAATGCAGATTTAACTCTCATTCCACGGAATGGTCGTAAAGCTGCTGTGTGCCAGTGAACAACACCAGACTTAAAATAGCACATGTTCAAAAACTGGAAAGGCCGAGAGAGGTGGAGGAAACAGTGAGTAAATTTCTGAGAATTTGGGGCTAAAAACTCATGTTTATAGATGTATTCTTTTACATTATATATATATATAATGAATATGATACATATAAAATATATATATATATTTAACCACATACATATCACATCTATCACGTCTCTTTCTAATTTTATTTATCATAATCTACCAATAAAAAAAAAATCTTTGTATGTGGCAATAAACACAAACACAGACTCTAATGAAACCATGTGATAATAAATAAATAAATAAATGCCTACCTTGATGTTGCAGGCGACCGCCTTTCCATCTTCACCTTTCAGCATCAGCTTCATGCCACGGAGTGTATCCATGGCTTTGGTGAAGCCACAGTATTCCTGGTACTGAACGTATGCCTCAAAGTTCAGATGACCACCGAAGCTAAATGTGTTGAAGTTTTTGTCCAGCATTTCCTCTCTGTACGGGTCCAACATGGGTATGTCAACGTTTCGCACCTGAAATTAAACCAGTGGAATATTAGCAGAAATGAAGAGACTTCACAGTATGAACACTGATAGATTACAAGAACACATTATCTAGTGTTCTGGAAATGCAGTTACATGTTCCCACCTTGCCAAATGTCTGGAAAACATCGATTAGGGCTTGTTCAGACGGCCGGTCTGGATATATACTGTCCTTCTGACTAAACCACCTGCAAGGGAGTCCTTCCAGATGGATGGTGTCAGGTCGCTCTCCTGGCAGCGTCTCATTCATGTCTCTGGCGTCGCGGAAAAACGAGTCCCA